AGAAACAAACTGACCTGTGAAAGGGTAGAAAAGCTTGTTTCAGTCCGTGCAACCTAAAGTTTTTAGAAGTCCATGAGAAAAATGACAAAGAGGGGGAAGAAGAAGAAACGGAAAATGATAGCAGTAGTTCAGAAAATGAGATAGATAAATAAACTGCGTGTATATGTTGTGTCTTCTGTTTCTTTTTTTTTAAAGCACCACTCAAACGGTAGACCTATGGAGCTTAAATATTGAGGTGGACCTTAACTTTATTTCCTTTGTTGCTAAGGGGCAAATCTGATTATTTTTTATGTTGATGGTTTCTTGCTTTTTTTGTTGCTTTTGAGGGAAAAGGGGGTGGTTACCTGTTTTATTGCAAGCATAATACTTTTATATACACTGCATTTCACACAATTTGTAAAACTACTCCACCCTGAAATTTTTTCAATTTTTCCAAAGTTTCTATTTTTTCTGGAAAAAAACGGGAAAAAACGGTTTTTTCTCATGGCTTCAAAATTTCCGGAAATTTTACATCCCTAGTTCTGACACAGAATAAGCATATCTTCTGCTTATTCCTACTTGCAGAAAGGAACTCCCCAGCATTTCTTTAACTTCAAATATATGGATTAAACTATTTTAATAATAAGTACAGAACCAAAAGCCATTTTAAAAGTGTCAATACTATTCTTGTTAAGTATACTTTTTAAACATTCCAGCACTCTGGCACTGGTGGAGCAGCTGCTGGCAAGAAGAACAGAACGTGGAAGAATCTGAAGCAAATTCTTTCTTCTGAAAGGACACTGCCATGGCAACTAAATGATCCAAGCTGTAAGGTCTTTAGAGTTTTCCTATACCGTATATTTATAAATAACAGATTTCTAGAGAATACCCCTAAATTGTTTTCTCATTGTGAGATATATTGTGGCTAAGTAGATTTCAGCAAATGAAATTCAGGGGGATGCTTACTCAGCATGAATAGAAACATAAGTAGAGTGACATGGAGTTGCACTATACATTTTGCATATTCCCTTGCTTCACAAATAAATTTGCATATCTTAAAAAAGACAGTTAAAATACATTTTAACAGAAAAAATATCTACAGCCATCATTTTAAAAGGTAAGATTGCCATAGATACTGGTTTTAAAAGGAGCATACCTAATGACTTAGAAATGCTTTAGTTGTAAAATCTGTACCAAATGTATCTGAAGACAAAGTGCAAAGAGAAATTAATATCTTTTAGTGCCATTGTATGCTTTGGTAGACATATTTGCTTATAATACAGTTTTCTAATACTTCCCAAAGAGTTCCAGAGAATAGAAATTTCCAGCTTCTCATTTAAATGATCACATTACTTCTAGGTCATTGATTTGATCTAAGTAGTATTAAACATACTTAATACTTAAGATTTATCTGATTTAAGAGTATTCTTTCCTCTCCTCCCCCCCCCCTGAAATTTTAGCATATTTGTTATAATAAATGTTTTGTGAGCTCAACTTATGAGGGAATATATAAAACTGCCACATTTCAAAACTATTTGTAATACAACTGTCATTCCAACTAGTTGCCTTCATCTTATTTAATACAAATTTAATTAATAAATAAATAAAATATTTTCTGTTGTCATACTAAAAAAGACACTGAAAACACATTCTGTGATATGAGATCTGCTAGCTGATGCAAAAGCAGGTACACATCATAGTAGTTACTGTTTATTATTTTTCTGTTGCTATCCAAATGCACTGTTGATCTTGCTGTTCGTCACTGAAGACAAATTCCTTGTATATATTTTATAGTTGGTCATTAAAGTATTTTGTATTTGTATTGTAGTTGTATGAGAAATCCAGTTCAATGTAAGTGATGTATGTTGACTCTAAAGATCTAGATTTTGCTTATCTGTTAAGGGAGTCTAGGCTGGTAGAGCCTAATTCCAAGAGGTTTGTTATAATCATGGTTATTTTGGCAAAAATGTTAATCTTGTACATTGCCCCCTTTCTGAAAGATACTTGGTTTTTTTGTTTGTTTCCCCTAAAAAGTGTATCTTTACTTTCATTAGGAGAGGAAACTATGATACTACAGTAGAATCTTAATGTCATAGTGCCCTCTACAGATGGGAGAAAAAGCTGTAGGTTTTTTAGGGCTGAAGGCACTATGCTGTTACAATCACAATAACAACAACAACAACACAATTTGACCCACCAAGAATGAGATTCCTAAGTTATTGTTTTATCCTGAAGGTTCTTGTCATCCTTCAGTAAATCAACTTCCTGTGATTATACTTTTTTATCTGCATCCAGTCTGGCAGATAAGAGTGCCAATGATGTCTTTAATCACTTTTATTTCTTCTCTATCTCCAGAAGAATGATCATCACATCTTTCTCAGAAGCTGCTGAAATTATCGCCTTTCTGGGTTTTTCTTGGTTACCATACAAATAATAAATTGGCCCCCTCTGATAACAAAAGCATCATAATCACCTTTCAGATTACAATAGGTACCAATTAAAGTAGCAAATAAATTATTATTAGAATGCAATTTTAGAAGAGGGAGTAGAAAATGCCAACATTCATCTAACTAAAGTGCCATTTTGAATGAAAGGCTTGATTTTATCTCTCTGAAGCATTGGCCCCAACCAATCCATGAGGTGCTCCACTTTTTGCATCCTTTTCTAAGTGCTTACATTCCTTTTGCCGAAGTTTGTTTTCATTTTTTGTTCTCTTTGTTTGGACAGTTTTCATTTCTTGAAGGAAGCATTTTTGCCTGTACACTATTAGTTTTTCTAATCCTGCCTATTAATCAGTTTATTGATGCCTTGCACTTGCTATTGTCTTTTCTGTGAGGTATATATTTTAGCTAAACGTTTTGTAGTTCTGAATAATTTTCAGACTTCTAGTAGAGGCATTCTGTGGATTGAAATCACTTGTTAACAAGAATGACATGCCATAATTTGAATATATTGTAATTTGAATTGGTACTTAACTGATACTTTACAATTTAATTTGAATGAATACTTTCAAATTTCAAAATCAGGTGCTTGGCATTGGAATCTAATTACATGTCCATGCTTGGTCAGGATATTTTCTATATATTTGTGCTTGTTGGAAAAAGTGATGCCACTAGATTAAAGATTTCAATTCAAATGGAATGAAAATTGAGTCCAACCAGCTCTGTATTTACCAATTTGTACATTAACGTGAGTATCCTGAATTTAATTTCTCTTTTCCCCCAGACTTCAGTATTGATGCTCCTCCTTCATTTAAACCAGTCAAAAAATATTCTGATATTTCAGGACTTCCTGTGAGTATTTTAAACGTATTTTTAGAATTTAGTTTTTCTCTGCATTGGTCTAAACATCTCCACTGATGTTTAGCAGTTTAGCGTTGCTCAGCAGTTTTTCTTAAACTTTGATCTGGGAAACTCAGAGTTCTTCTGAATACTTGTTGGGAACTTCTTAATGAAAGATTGCAACAGCAGACATATCCTTTGAAAGACAGTTTGGTTGTCTATCATTACCAGTCTTGCTTTCACACTGCACCTATAACATAGCATTGTCTAGATCAGCGATGGCGACCTATGACATGTGTGTCGAAGGTGACACGCCATGACATTTTGGGTGACACACCAGTGTTCACCAATGCCCGACAACTATTCTCCCTGTTTGAGTTACCAAAGAAACTGATTTTGTTTTACTTGTATTTTTGTAATTATTTGACGTTTCTTTATATAATACATAGCATCACACATGATTGGACTGTATTTTTAAAAAATAAATTAATATGTAAGGAATTGTTTCTCTTTTGTTCATTGGGGGCTGGGGGTAATACACCAGCAGAATCAAATTCAATTCAGCATTTTCTGAATTTTTGACATGCTGAGCCCAAAAGGTTTGCCATCACTGGTCTAGATTGAAAGGGCACATTGTTAGTCTACACAGAACATTTATGAGGCCCAATAGGCCTAGCCAGTGCTTTCAAAAATGGAGATTATATAATTTTTTACTAATATAGATAAGATATAGGCTAGGTAAAGGTGAAAGAAGTAGGACAGAAATATTGGTAACACCATAGGTTGCATATGTCTTCCCTATAACATATCTCGGTGATATCTACACTGCACTAACCAAAATGTAAACACTTAAAAAATAACTGCTCTACAGTTACCTAACAAAGTAATTTCAGACAAAATCAGACTGAAGATAGAAGTCATAGAACCTTTGAGATGTAATGTTTAAGCCTATAAAGAAATCCTGGATTAGAAGAGCAGCACACCACATTTTTCTTCATGCTGTCAGGTTGAAAAGTACAGTGGGGCAAAAAAGTATTTAGTCAGCCACCAATTGTGCAAGTTCTCCCACTT